GGCCTTGCTGGGGCTGGGTTTGGTCTGACTGTAAACTCTCTAACGGGCCTGTGTACGTTCTCTCCTAGGCCTTGCTGGGGCTGGGTTTGGTCTGACTGTAAACTCTCTAACGGGCCTGTGTACGTTCTCTCCTAGGCCTTGCTGGATGAGTGGGCTTCTAAGGCAGCTGCTGTGCAGGATGTTAACAGCAAAGGTTCCACTCTCTGTAGCCTTATCACCGCTCTGACCTCTCCAGCCAAAACAAAGACGTCACACAAGTCAGGTACACCTGTCATCAGGTTTCCCAGAAATCCTGGATGCAGCTTAATGGTTTGACGCATTGACACGGAGTAGGGAGGGAGTCATAGCAATTATTGTCTTCAGCCTGAGACGGGAAAGAGCCCGGAGTTATAAATGTGGGGGTGGATCACTTTTGTTGTTCTGAGATGATACAAAACTACACACACTAAGCATCTTTATGATTTTTTTTCCTGTCTTGTTTTTCTAGGATCTGCTGTTATGAATGGTTCAGGTGCTCACGCTTATCTGACCAACAAAGGTAAAAAACGAAAAAGCATAATGAAACACGGTGACTTAGAACAAAATGACGGAGTCCTTATGCTTCTTGGGAACAAGCTAGGACCACGCAGCGAGGGCTAGTAATAGATTAATCATAGTTTAGTGGGACTTGTAGTAGGATTACTGGAAAGATAATGAATGAACTTATGCAGATACTGAGTGGTTCTAATGCCCTATACCAGCCTGACATGCCGTTATAATGACTTATCAACAGAAACCTGAGAATTTAGTATCGCCTGAGATGTGCGACTGTATGTGGTCGTCCTTCTGTTTAACCCCTTGACAGAGCTCATGGCTGTAGAGCAGGACCTGTCACATGTAAACGATGGGTACAAGAACCTGGGAGAACTTCTGAAGGCCCGGGCCAATGAGCTGAATGGAGTGGTGCTGCGGGTTCGAGAGGCGCGGGAGGACACGGGCTCCATCATGAAGTGCCTGGAGGAGATGAAGAACACGGCAGCCAGCTGGGACCCCGTGTCGGCCGAGAGGAACTCCATGATGACCCAGATGGAGCAGCAGAAGGTACCAGACAAGTCGCTCCTTAGTGATAGACATGGAATTTTCTAGATTCAAGGTCTTTGCACTTCTTATGGCTATGAGGGATTGTTTGAAAATATCACCTTTGATATCGTGCCTGTAGAATGGGTTGTACCCTTAATCTCTCTTAGGCTTTTGAAGAAGGCATGAAAGTGAATGAGGAGAAGGTTCAGAAGCTAAGAGGGAAGCTGCTGAAGCTGATCGAGGATCATCCCGATTCTGCTGAAGTGGCGAAGTGGAAGCAGACCCTGAATCAGATCGGTGAGCTCTGTTTGCAACCCCGAGCGTGACGTCAGAATTTTATCGAGGAGTCACTGGAACACGAGAGTGCGGATTTCTCACGGTGACATACATCCTGCAGAAACCTCTAGAAATCGTCTCAAACTGATGGTGTGCTGTGATTGAAATGCAGGAGGGTGAGGAGGTTTTGTGTGTGTGTGTGTAATTAACACCTTATGGGGACCAAATGTCTCCACGGTGTGGTAGAACCTGTTACTTTTTAAGTGGTAAATGGACTGCATTTATATAGCGCTTTTCTACTCCTACGAGTACTCAAAGCGCTTTACAACTCAAGCCTCACATTCACCATCCACACTCACACACCGGTGGCGGAGGCTGCCATGAGGCGCCAACCTGCACACCGGGAGCAATTTGGGGTTCAGTGTCTTGCTCAAGGACACTCTGATGGGGTCAGGAGGAACCAGGACTCGAACCTGCAACCCTCTGGTAGCTGAACAATAGCGCCACCATCTTCCCATCTTTTAGCTTGAGGGGACATTTTTCAGCTCCATACAATAAAAACCTCAACATTATTTTTTATAAAAATCTGTGTCTGCAATCAAAAAACTAAACAAACCAAAAGTCTTGTGTTTTGTTTGCTTACTTATGGTTAAGATTAGGGCTGATCTAAGGTTAGCGGTTAAGGTCGTCATAGTTGTGATGTGTGTGTGTGTGTGTGTGTGTGAGAGAGAGAGAGAGAGAGAATGGGAGAGATTAATGAGGGGCTCCATGCTACCGTTGCCCCGCACAGATGAGACCTGGAAGCACCTCGCGGGGGCCATGGAGGACCGCCGGCAGCTGCTGGAGGCCTCATCGCGCCACCTGGGCCTCTTCCAGGCGGCTGAGGAGCAGCTGGGCCAGTGGCTGGCAGAGAAGGAGCTTATGATGAGTGTCCTGGGACCTCTCTCCGTGGACCCAAACATGCTCAACACCCAGAAGCAGCAAGTGCAGGTATGCCCCCCTGCCCCCTCCCGCCCCAGGGGGTGGCCTGCTCCACCAGTCACTGACAGACTCCACCAGCTTCCAATTGGTTGCTCTTCCAGTCCCCAACGGGTTAATCCAGTCACCAACTGACAGCACTAAGGAATCCCACCAAAAGAGCCTTTCAGAGACCTCCAGCAGGTAGACGGAGGTATGGATATTCGGTTCCCATGGCGATACTGAGCATAGGCCTGCGTGGCAGCATGAGGAGGGTATGCTCACTTATACATGAACCAGTTATACTAGTCAGACAAAGCAAAGCATGATGACACTAAGTGCTGTTGGTTATTGGAAGTCATTAATGGGTGCATGTATATTTCTAAGTTGCACTTTTCCTCTCTGTCCTCTGCTAGATCCTGCTGAATGAGTTTAACAGCCGCAGGCCACAGTACGAGCAGCTGAGCGAGGCCGCCCACGCCATTCTGAGCACCCCTGGCGAGCAGAACCCCTCATGCGCTCCTGTCAAGGAGCGGCTGGCCGCCGTCTCCCACAAGTGGCAGGCCCTGACCGGCCAGCTGGCCCAGCGGTCCGAGCGCATCGACCTGGCGTCCAGCAAGAGCGCCCAGTTCCAGGGCCTGCTCCGGGGCCTCGCCGACAGCCTGGGCACCCTGGGCGGCCGACTGCAGGAACAGCAGGCACTCAGCAGCCAGCCTGACGCCGTCAAGAAGCAGCTGGAGGCCGCTAACGCCATCTTGGCCCAGCTGCGCGAGGAGAGGAGGAGGCTGAAGGAGGCCGAGGCCTTGTGCTCGGAGCTGTCGGCGCTGGTGAGCGAGGAGTACCTGCGGGAGGATCTGAGCCGGCAGCTGGAGGCTGTCAGCAAGCCCCTGGAGCAGCTGGAGGAGAGAGCAGGTCAGTTCCTGTACATCCCCAGCACGTTTCCGGTCAGTCAGCAGGGGCTCATGTCCAAGCAGGGCTGATAATCCATCGTAAGCATACAGCTGCCAGGGAACTAGCCTAGTCACCACTGCATGTGGAGATCAGTCAGACACCCCGGGTTCCTCTCAGGTTCCTTTCAGTTGGTCATACTGATTTTGAAATCTTTCCATAGTGCGCCAACATGGAGTTAACCATGCACTAAAAAAACATACGTAATGAAGTTACACTGATTAGCCTGTTTTTTCTTACCTCTGTTCATGTCAGTGGTGATGTGGTCATTGGCAGGGATAAGTCACTGCATGCTTTTTAGATAACGATCGCTCTCGCAGTGCGTCAGCATGGCTCCTTGTACACAAGGTAAACTCATGAGCCAACAAAGGCTATGGGTACACACTCGTAGAGCTTAATTATGGCAGCCTGAAGACATTAGTTATGTAATTAAATATATACAATAAACTATGTAATGAAAGTGTGTTCCATGTGCCAGTAGTGGTTGTACATATGTGTGCCCTAAGAATTGAATTTTGTATCTCACAGGAAAGAAGATCCAGCAGCTCAATTCTACTTTTGCCAGCTCCAAGCAGTTCCATCAGATGTCCAAAGACTTCCAGGTGTGGTTGGATGAGAAGACGAAGGAGCAGCGGCAGCCTTGCCTGGTCTCGGCCAAAGTGGAAATCCTGCGACAAAGCTTGAGAGAGCAGGAGGCTTTCCAGAAGGGTCTATGTGAGCAGGAGAGACCCTATGAAACCATCGTCAAGGAGGGTGAGGCGCTCCTGCAGAGCACGGAGGGTGCTGAGAAGGTGGCTCTGCAAGGGCAGCTGTCCTCCCTGAAGTCCACCTGGGACGACGTTAGGAAGACCTCTGCTGATTGCATGGAGAAGCTTCAGACGAGCCTGCAGAGGGCTGAGAAGTTCAAGGAGCATGTGGAGAAGCTCAGCGCCTGGATCGAGGAGTGCAAGGCCAGCGTGGACCAGGTCAAGTTTGGCATGGAACCAGCCGAGGTGGATATTTCCTCCACGCGTGTCAGAGAAATCCAGAAGGATCTGGATAAGCACCGGGGGGTCGTGGAGATGATGAACAGCGCTGCCAATAGCCTGCTGGAGGTGGTGAATGCAGACAGGGAGGCCATTGAGGATGAGAAGACGTCCATCAACAAGAGAGTAGATGGCATGTCAGAGACATTACAACAGAAGAAGGAGTCTTTGAACAAGATCAGCCAGAAGCTGAAAGTCTTCAATGAAACCAAAAAGGAGGCCAGGTGTCAGCTGGATGGGACTCGGAAGCAGATGGAGAGCCATACTTCCCTGGGTGCTCAGGCCTACAGTAACAAGAATCTGACCAATATGAAAGCCCAGCAGAAGGCATTAGCTGGAGTCCAAACACAGGTCGATTGCCTCAAGAATCTGGCCCAGGAGCTGGTCATAGATGTTCCAGATGCCGAGGGAGTTACTGACCTCCTGCTGCAGGCTGACAGCCTGGAGAAGGACTTTAGCTCCATCAGCCGGGAGATGGAGGAGAGGTGCTCCTCCCTGGAGGGCAAACTGCAGGGCATCGGGCACTTTCAGAACAGCATCCGCGAGATGTTCGCTCAGTTTGCCGACCTGGACGATGAATTAGACAGCATGGCGCCAGTGGCACGGGATCTTGACACACTTCACTCACAGCGGGATGACATCAAGGGCTTTGTCACTAAACTACGGGAGCTGACGGCGAATGCCCTTAACGCTTCCAAAAGCTGCAAGACCATGCTGGAAGACGAGGCCTCACCGGACCTGCTGGGCCTGAAGCGGGACCTGGAGGCTCTGAACAAGCAGTGCGGCAAACTGATGGACCGGGCAAGAGCCAGGGAGGCCCAGCTGGAGGGTACACTCAGCCGCATGCAGGAGATGTACGAGCAGCTCCAGGAGTTCACGGAGAAGCTGACGGAGGCTGAGAGGCAGGAGGGCTGCCAGGAGCTGGTTGGCATGGAGACCGAAGTCATCAACAATCAGCTGGAGGCCTTTAAGGTACCGTAGGATATCATTATGCCATGAGTCATTTGCCTGGTGTACTTCTTAACTCGGTTCTTTCACACGTAACAGCTTCCATATTAAAAGTACCATGGGGGGTGGGGCGGGGGGGCTGATGGTCACTGGCCACATGACGGTTGGGGGGGGGCGGGGGGCAGAACAAGCTACAGCAGGAGGCAGATGTTACTGTTGTAGCTTGAAGTCAATAATGATGGTAAAGTTGAGTGGTGTGTGGACACACCATGCTGTTCTCTGTAAAACTGTCTGATCTGGAGAAGCTTCAGTTGTTCGTACTGGCTCACGATTCAAACAACAAAGTTAATTACTCTTCCTTTGCTTGCCTGTTTACTCGCTGGTGACATTCAGAACGTTCAGTTCTGAATTTCTAACATCCTGAGCCGATATCCGGCGGTCTGAGGGGAACCACCAGGCCTCACGCGGCCACGTTTACAAAGCTCATTTGCCAGTTTAGATTAATCAGCTCACAGTTAAAAAATGTTATAAGATAAGGAAAAAAAATGATCATCAAGTAGAACAAGCAACAGAAAATAAACAGGCAGCCCGGAATTTTCTGTTAGTATTTTCTCTGCTTCCTTCTCTGCTTATCCATTCATTATTTTCCCATCCCCCTCTGCCAGCCGGGAAGGGGGGGCTGTAAAAGCCCCCTCCCCTGAGTGAAATGTCCATTAAAGAGGCAGAGCAGCCCCCCCGTAGGATCCCCATGGACGGCAGTAGTTGAAGTCTCCGGTGGTGGGTCTTGCGCCTGCGCCCTTCGCTGGCCCATCAGGCACATGCAGGCCAGCCCCGGGGGGCTTCACTCCTCTCTTCCAGCAAGCATCTGGTCGCTGGTGAAACACACTCCTGCCCTGGGCTATTGTTGCGGGTGACAAGCCCCGGGGGCAGATGGCCGTCAGCATGGTGTCGTATGTTAAACAGCCTCATCCCGGTCTGGGGGGGGGGCGGGTGACCGTGGGCCTTTAAAAGAGCCCCCGCCCCATTGAGGCGGCCCCGCGACACCTCCGTTTGTCTGAAGAGGGCTTTGTTACGATGTTTGGCCTGGCCGCTTATTCGCTCATTCTGCAGCATCTGCTGTGGCGTTATCCATTCGAGACCTTTCTCCGGCTCACGCTGCTCAGCCTAAAACAAGATGGTTTGTGGTTCACATTAAAAAAAAAAAAAGTCTGATTAAGGGAATCTTGTTGCTTTTTTATATTCTTGGCCTGGTTTCCGGAATTTTCCCTCCGGTGTCCTCTCAGTAATAGATCACTGATGGATGATTGATTATGGGGACTTGGATATACTGTAACTATGAATGTTCTGGAAGGACAAATGCTTTCGGACAGACATATCGTGAGGGTTTCGCAAGTGCCTGTGTATATTCCCATGTAGCTGTCCGACAGCGAAGATGTTGTGGTCACTATCCATACCACTCATGACATCAAAGGCCATCAGTGCTACATATGTATGGATTGATACGGTGCTGAAGGGGACGCAGGAACATTTTGGAAGTATTAAGCTCACATTTATTATTTTTCTTCCCAGAGTGGGGCGGGGGTGGTTCTCGTATGCATTCCTCCTGTAATCCCAGCGTCTTCAGGTGCTCTGTCAGGGAGGGAGGTTTTGCCATTTGCTGTAACTCCGGCCGAAGTTCCCCAGGTTTTCGTTTGGCTTATTGTCGTCCTTCTGCTGGGTGTTTGATGTTTCGCTTGTCATTTAGACTGATTGTCACTACAGTTTTTTTTACAGTTTTTTTTTTTTTTTTTGATTTCCTTGCCAAAGTCTAGTGGTCTGAATCACACTGGGATCATTTTTGTGTCGTGGTTGATGGCTCATGATTCCCACACAGTTAGGGCCACCTAATTCCTGCCCCCTTGTGCTGCCTGGAAAGTAACATCTCAACCCAAAACCGCAAATTGGCATCCTGACCTGTTGTCCTGTTATCCGGATCCAGATTCCCATGGAAG